TCAAACTATTCTCCAAAGCAACTGAGGGTAGGACAAGAATCAACCTATTCTCCAAAAACACCTGAAGGCAGGAGAAGCAATGGATGGAAACTAAACAAGGAGAGGAGCAACCTGGTTTGTTCCCGCTGATAACTGTTCTTGCGGTCAGGAGAAATTTCCTGATGAGAACGATTAATGAGGGGAACAGCTTCCCTCCAGGAGCTGTGGGCGCTCCATCACTGGAGGTTTTAAAGAAGAGACTGGACAGTCACTTGTCTGAAATGGCACAGGGTCTCCTGCCTGAGCAGGGGTTGGACTAGAAGACCTCAAAGGTCCCTTCCAACTGTTATTCTGTTCTGTTATTCCATTCGGAAGAGGCGGAGAGGAAAACTTAAAAGTGGAGGTGAATTTTCCTGCAAGTGAAGTTTGATTCCTGGATGGCTGTACAGAGACATACATGCAATAGTTGTTGTGTTTTTTGGAGGGGTGGGAGATAGGATTGGGGTAAGAGGGGTCTGTTTTTTCCACTGCCCTCTTATCCAATGTATTTCCAATGGCTTAGGATGAGGGCAAGATACTCAGATCTTCTGGTGCTCAATTATTCAGCCATAGGTCCAAGATTAGCAAAAGTTTGCCAGGTGCAATAAAAGAAAAGGGGGAAATACTCATTTCTGCATTACTGGTAGTCCTCAACTTAAAACGGTTCACTTAATGACTGTTCAAAGTTGCAACTCTACTGAAAAAAAAGTGATTTGTGGCGGTTTTTCACGTTTAATCATCACTGCAGCAGCCTTCCCTGGTCACATGACCAAAATCCAGATGCTTGGCAACTGGCATGTACTTATGACGGTGGCAGTGCCCCAGGGTTGCTTTGTACGGGGGGCGGGGGGGGCTTCTGATCAGCAAAGTCAATGGGGAAGCCAGATTCACTTAACAACCGTGTTACTCACTTAACAACTGCAGCAAGAATGGGCATAAAATGGAGCAAAACTCACTTAACAACTGTTTCGCTTAGCAACCAAAATTTGTCCTAGGTTGAGGGCTACCTGCACTCAAATGCAGAAATCTGTATGGCTTTGCTGTAAGATATTCAAGAAGCAAAACGATTCGTTCCTCACCTGAGTTTTATGCCAGCTCAGGAAAGAAGGGAAAAAAAAGGTTCTAATTAATTAAATGACAGGCTTAACTCAGAGGCCAGTAAAGAATCTTTGCAAGATGGTTTTCTGTAAGAGATCGGGCCACACAACGCCTTAAATCTCACTCGGTGGCTGCGCTCAGAAAATGCGGGTCGAGGGCTAAGCAGCTTAAACCATAATTAAAAGGTCATGCGCATTTCCTCATGCGCTGGAAAGACAGCGCCAGCTCAATTAATAAACGAGTAATACGGTTGTTGAGTGAATCTGAGCCTCCCACTTTTTATGGGGCTTAGAGGTTTTCTGCAAGCAAACGCTCAAATCACCGTGGATTATGGCCAACGGTGGAGAAAACCCGTCTTCAAAGGTGTTTTTAAAAGCTGCAAATCTTCCCCAATTGCTCTTGTTTTGTTTTCCTTCCACTTCCTAAAATAGACCTGTATGAGATCAGTGCAGGCTGTTGCAAGAAGAAGACGGTGATGCAAAGAGGGGAAATTGCACAAAACAATGGTTTTTGCGTGCCACGTGTCTGGAGTTAGTCAACGCGACTGTGGGAACGGGAAGCTCTGGGGGAGCCGTTTTTGTCATGTCACCCTCAAAAATCCCACATCTTGGAAAAAAATCCCACATTCATTCCACATCAGCTGGAATGGAGAAGGTGGATTGATTACATTCAAAATAAACATGGGGAC